AAAAAAAAAAAAAGGATTTCTAGGTCAAAGCTTAAGTTACAAAGCACATGAGTCGCCTCAAATCATGACTCTTCAACTTGAACACTCCTTACTGACAGCACTTTATAAATCACGCCAAGAAAAAGTCCACCTATCTCCACCCTCCCCAAATGGCAAGAGCTAACACATCTGAAATGTGGTCACTGTAGCTTTTCACTTGGATGCCAGAGCAATCATGGAAGGTAGGCTGGATCAAGCCATCTCCATCTCTGCCTTCCCCCATCTTGTAGGGTTCAGCTAATCAGTGAGCTCACCAGTACAATTACAGTAAGTTAGAAATATGCTAATATAAACCAGAGGGGCAAGACTGTTACCCCAGTGGGACAAGGACTAGTGGCTTTTTCAAAGGAAATCACTGGTCATTTTTGGTCCTGGAGACTGGTGCTCATCTACTACTTGGGCATGGGCACAGTTACAGTCACTACTTGATACACAACAGTGTGAAGGTTTGACTAGACCTCAACTAAATAAACTTGAATGTTCATCAGTACAATTGCTCAGTTGCTCTTGGTTTGATTTTCCCAAGTCTAAATAGGGAAGAACATGATATACCTTTCACATGACCCAATATTCAAAATAGCCTGTGATCAGTACCATAAAGATGTTAAGAACTAATCAAAAGTCATTTCTATCTATTAAAAACTTAACTACACCAATCTCTTTAAGGAGCTGTATCTTACAAGATTTCCTTTACATCAAGCCTTATGGTCAACAAGCCTGTAATAAGGCGTACCCATATCCTCTGACCATTAAGCAATGACACAGCCAGCAAACTCCTTTGCTCTAAGATTCTTTTTTATCCCTCCAAATTTGATACCAATTTAGCAGTTTTAAAAACTTTCTGAAATTTGGTATTTTTCTCTCAGGCTGACAAAATCTATCCCCTACCCTGTCCTTAGATTTCAGTTGATTCAGATTATTCCAAAATATTTTTGAAAAGGTTTGTGTCACTTGCTAAAACCAAATTTTCATCTCTGTGGATATAACTTCAAGTCAATTGAAATAACTAGGTTTGCAATCCAGGAGTTCAACCTCACACCCACTTTTAGAAACTTCCTTACAGATTACCATTTTACCATGGTCCTAAGAATAACTAAGACACAATTTCACAATGGCACAAATAAGTAATACCCCCATTATGTGAAGGAAAAAAAATTCTAAATGAGCTCTAGATCAGTCTTGTTTTATACCAAGCCCCATGATTTTCCCTGACCTAGCCAATTTCAGTGGTTTCCCATGTGCTTAAGGTTCATTGCTTGTGAACTAAGGTCTGGCTGTTCTAATATAAAATGTACCAGTGAGGAATATATTGGGAGTTCTACCATAATATAACTCATTAGAGTGTAAAATCTGGTACAAGAGTTGCCCCATGGACTCACTCAAGCAACTTCTAGTTCCCAAAAGTAATAGAAGATCCTTATTGCAAAGATCTGTAACATGGTCTTGGAGTGTCCCCCCAAGAATGGTGTCGGAGCAAAGGTCTCATAAACTTGACTGACCTAAAGCCGCCATTATCTCTTAACATTCATCAGCCGGGGCGGGGTTGGGGGAGAGAGGGAAAGAACGATCCTCACCTTAAGAATTTTACAAGTTTAATGTGAAATTAAAAAAAAATACAAATAGAAAAGAAGTCCACTTTCTTTAATGTTGTACAAAAAAGTATGAGTAGAACCAAAAGTAAATTAAACATTGTCACATTTGTTTACACCATTATCTAGTTCTTCATATTAACTTTACTATTCAAACAATAGAAAGTAGGTGGCAATTTAGGGAATGGGAAAGAAAGAAAACCAAAAAAACTTTTCTACCATGTTTATTCCACACTGTGTATAGCTGTGCTCACAGAGACGGCTTCTTTTACTTCTCCACTGTGCAGGAATTCAGTTGTATATAAAATTGAACCTGAATTTTTAAAAGAACAATTGCTTTATTAAAAACAGTATTTTTACATAGTTTCTACCTTAGACGATAAAGAAATTTGGACATTTTTGCCCCCCCTTTGACATTTCTGGCACTTTCTACACCTAAACACAATTTTCTCTCACCTGTCACATCTTACACATTAAATAACAGCGTTGTTGAATACTTACAATAATAAAAAAAATTTAAGAGTGCAAATTTGATTAATTATCCACTAATAAGTTCCTTGAGGGAAGGAAAAGTTGTTACACCTCATTGTATTCTGACTATTCAACACAGTTCCTGATACCCAACACGTGGTGTTTAAATAAATGAATAATAAGACTCTTTTTCATATCCCATACTTCAACTTGTAACCCATCAGCAGACCAAAGCAGAGGAGCAAAAGATGAAGTCTGATTAGTGTGACAAAATAGAAAGACAAATTTCATACTCAACAAGCTTTACAAGGTCAAAATCACTACTGGAATTGTTTTTAAACTAACATTTACTCAGCCCTTACCAGGTGTCTGGCACTATTCTAAGCACTTTATATTAAGTGTTATTTCACTTGGTCCTCACAATTCTATAAGCAGGGACTACCACTGCCATTGACAGATGAAGAAAGAGGCAAATAGGTATAATCATTTATCCGAGGTCACACTGCCAGGAAGTACTGAAGGTGGAATTCAAATCCAAACACTGATCGCAGAATCCATCTTACCCACCGCGTTATTCTGCCATTCCTATCTATGGCTGGCTCTAAGGACCTCAACCAGTAAAAGTCAACTTTTTAAAAAATGCATTTCTCAACACTCTACCTGCCTAAAAAAAAAATATATCAAACTCCATGTAAAAATTCAAGACCTGATCCCACATGTCCCAATTTGGGCCTAAATACAGTAGGTTCCAAGAAGGAAAGAGAATATGTTACACCAAGAGATTAAATCTGCACATTTTTATATAGATAACTCCCCTCATATTTATTATTCACTGCAGACTACTATTTTACCATCTCTTCTTTGAATGAAGACTTCAAACTTTACTAGACAGTTTCAGATTTGGGGAAGAGCAGTTACACAAATACCAGAATGTCGTCATGCTGTAACTAAGGGTCTGGGGACACTTGCAGCCACTCATATTTAACCTATGGCTTTTACATGACCTAAGGGTCCCTCTATTGCTTAGTTTCCTGAAAGACCAAAATTCATGAATTATTCCTTCTCAAGTGGCTCGAATATTTTAAATTTGGCAGTTTAGATGAATCAATCACAAAAGGTTCAACTTTCCATACCTGCTCAAAAGCTGAGGGAGACTAGAAATGATGGGTCCATATCCTGGTGCATTGTCATACAATTCAAACAATGGTGCAGCTACCAGCTTGTAATTTTTAGGGACTGCAAACAAGGCTAAAACAAAATAAAACAGTATTCACTTTGTATAATTTCTCATATAATCACTGCTTCCATTTCATTTGTCAAGTCATCACCAATTTTACATCTGAGAAACTTTTGAAGAAAAAAATAACTCTCATGAATACATTTTGGTTGTGTCTTTTAAGCAAAGTTCATAGTGAGAACTTTGAAACTGACTGACTCTCCAAAGACATCCATGATATTAACAACGAAGAGCACCTTATAAGTGCTGGCGCTGGGAGAAAAGGGAGAAGAGAACTATCTTGGGTTTGTAATTTACTTTGGATTCCATTTTAAGAGTATCGGAAGAAATGGAATAATTACTTGTTAAAATGTACAGCAGGCCTGAAGATGGTATTAAAAAAAATTTCATCTGCCTCCTAAAATTTTCAGTTTATCACAATGTGAAAATCAGTACTAGCAGCTGAACAGTTATTAAAAATACTATAATCTGGTATTTTAGACTCTAGTTAAACTTACTTTTCCCCCAGTAGCATGACTGGCACATCTATGAGGAAAACTAGGTAATTCTATACAAACATGGTACGCGTTTTTAGTTTTATAATAAATCCAAAAAGTCACGGAACCTGGAGAAAACACAAACAGAGGTATCCTTGGAACTACTCTACAAAAATTTTTAGAGGGCTGCCTTCAAAAACAAAGTAACTTACCTTTCTCTTGAAGTTGAACCAAAAACAACTTCTTATGTTCCTTAGGTTTTGTAATATGTGCAGGAATATATGGATACTAAAATAACAAAAGAAAATAATTTGTAGTTGCCAAAACATCTCTTATACTTCCATGTTGCTATTTATCAATTTCTCTCATTTCAGACATTAAGCTCAAATATGAACCCTCTAAGACCAAGTTCCTCATAACCCAACACAGTTTTATTTTAACATGTATCCCGTGGCTTCATTTATTTCTTTACATGTTTATTCCCCAATACAGTGTAATCTGCTGGGAAAAATAGAATCTGTTCTAGTCTTTCCTTCCCCAGGATCAAGTACCTAACAGATGTACTAATAAATAAATGCTTTAAGAAATATAAAATAACAAGTAATAAACCATTCAAAACAAATATGTAAACACAGGATTTACAGCTTGAGAAATTTACAACACAATGAAGTCTGATATTGATTAGCGTTTTTTATAAAGGTAGTTGTTTTTTAAAAAAATATCTGGGGGGGCTGGCCCCGTGGCTTAGCGGTTAAGTGCTCGCGCTCCGCTGCTGGCAGCCCAGGGTTCGGATCCTGGGCGCGCACCGATGCACCGCTTCTCCGGCCATACTGAGGCCGCGTCCCACATACAGCAACTAGAAGGATGTGCAGCTATGATATACAACGATCTACTGAGGCTTTGGGGGAAAAAAATAAATAAATTAAAAATTAAAAAAAAAAAAAAAGAAAAGAAAAAATAGAAAGAGTTGAACTTTTAAAAAATAAAAGGGCCGGCCCTGTGGCTTAGTGGTTAAGTGCGTGCGCTCCACTGCTGGCGGCCCGGGTTCGGATCCCGGGTGCGCACTGACGCACCGCTTCTCCAACCATGCTGAGGCCGTGTCCCACATACAGCAACTAGAAGGATGTGCAGCTGTGACATACAACTATCTACTGGGGCTTTGGGGGAAAAAATAAATAAAATAAAATTATAAAAAAATATCTGGGGCTGGCCCTGTGGTGTAGTGGTTAAGTTTGTGTGCTCCGCTTTGGCGGCCTGGGGTTCGCAGGTTCGGACCTGCACCACTCGTCAAGCCATGCTGTGGAGGTGTCACATATACAAAAAATGGAGGAAGATTGGCAACAGATGTTACCTCGGAGCCAATCTCCCTCACCAAAAAATAAATAAATAAATATCATTACCAAGTTAGATTTTCTAGAATCCTGATGTAGACATGTTTACTATATTAAAAGTTTAAGTATAGTCTGTGAAGCATTTGACAAGACTCGCCTCCCCCGAAACCACTACACACACACACCAGACACATGCTTCAGGAACACCAAATGAGCAGTTTAAGTAGAGTTCTGTGAGCTGGACGGAGACAGACTGCTTAGGAAAATGCAGTAAATATTTTGGAGAATTCAAAGGGAGGAAGAGAATTAGAGAAGAGAGGTTGCTATGTGAGAAAGACGAATTTTAACATAAAGAATTTTATAATTCTAAGATAGAGATTTCTTTTTGTTCTACTGTATGTATGTGATGAAAACCTTTCCTACATCTCCCCACAATACATTCAGAAAATCTACTTTTGCTTTTGGAGTTGTATTTGAGGGCAGGGAAATTAAAAAGTGCAGAAAATAGACATAAGGGGAGAGTAAGACAAAAACAGAGGTTGCCAAAAGGAAGTATTATCACCCCCACCTCATGAACGGAACTTAGGCTGAGAAGCTGAGCATCTTTCCCAAGATGCCACAGCTAAGCAGTGATGCCAGGATTCAACTGTATCTATTCAACACATCTTACTATAAAAGCCTATGTTATTTCCCACTGTGCTACCCCACTGGCACTTAACCAGTATTCAAGTTAGAATAATTATATACCAGAGCCATCCCTAGGGTATAATGAATCAAGACAACTGTCCCAGGCTTTGGAGGTTAAAGAGACCTGTGGTTCACATATAACATAAAGTTACCAAACCGAAATGACCAGCATTACCCCAATTTTCTTCTACTTGAGGCTTATGTTCCTTTTCTTTTAAGTCTTTCTTCTGCAGTCCTCATCTTGGCGTTTATTTTAAACCAATTGCACTTTTTACAAAAAGATGGAGGTAGGGAGATGGTGTCATGCTCTTTTCCCACTGACACCTAACCAAACTCCAAGTTTCACTAAACAAACAGACAACCTTTATGTTATATCTTATACTAGCAGAGCCAACCCTAGGGTTCAGTGAATTAAGGGAATTGTCCTAGGACTGTGGTAGGGGAGATGAATGAGGGTATTCAGAAAGTAGCCTGGAAAACTTTGGGTTTATTACTGCGCATTTTCCAGTTACATCAAGGAATATTCAAGAAAGTTACATCAAAGAATATTCAAGAAACTAAGATAAGTTTGCAATAATTGTTCTATGTATCTTTGGACCAGGAACTTCACGATTTGATGAAACTATACTTTATTAAATCCAAGACAATTCTCAGGTAGCGAGCACTAGCACCAACTTCCAAAGCATCTTATCTTCCTACCCGTCAGCTATACGAGGGAGTCAGAAGGAAGAGGACAGAACAATCTTTAGCCTGGCTGATATTTTGTGCAATTCTTAACCTGGAACATCCTGCCATGCGAAGAAGCTATCAAAATCATAGAGCCTCGTCAAAAGAATTCAGGATCAAACTTTAAGAGGCTCCCATTAGTCAAAAATAGGAAAATTTGCACATCAGTAACATTATCAGTCATTACAATGGATTAAAACACATGAAATATATTTAAATCTGTGAGGTCACGTGACACTTGAAAAGGTCACTGAAACCGATGCTTTTTGGACCTCTCATCACAGTTTCTCATCCCACCTCAGATTCCAGGGCAGCTGTGTTCAAAAGTGTCAGAAAGCTCCCTGCTGGCTCCCACAGTCCCACTCTCCTGCTTTTCAGCCTCAAAGCATTTCCAAAGCCCTGAAAAGTCTCTCAACCAGTGCTCAGACTCAACACGAAAGAGCAAGGGAGTTCATACAACCCTCATCTACCGGGGGATACGAGTCCCCGGTCTTCCATCCCTCCAATGGACAATTCTGAGGGGCATTCCACATGGTTCCTCACAGTCCTTAGCACGATCAATCCAGTTGCCCACAGCTGTAATGAGATCAATTACGTACACTTTTTTGACTTTCGCTGCTTCAGGTTTCCCTTTCCTTGTACTCTGCTTCCCGGGATCACCTCCCAAACAAACCATCTGCACCCAAGTCTTTGTCTTATTCTCTCTTTTGAATAAAGTCAAGTCTTGGGAGGATGCTAAGGAATTAACTCTTTCTTCAGAAAACTAGTAAGTAGAGGAAAAGCAGCATCTATTCTTTCCTACACAAACTATACCTCAGGGTAACCAAATAGCTGATGAGAGAAGTTTCTCTTTATGTAAGGATCACAATCCTAATGAAGTAACAGATCCAGGAAACTACTATCAATGAGCTGCTAACATTATAAAAGTACACAACCAGATATCATAAAATTCATGATGGAAATACACAATACCACCTGTGGTAGCCAGCCTCCAAGATGACCCCCAATGGTCCTGTCTCCTGATATCCACACCTTTGTGGTCCCCTCCCACAACGTACCACGTTGGTTTGTGTGACCAGCAGCATACAGAAGTGATGGTATGTCACTGCCAAGATTAGGTTACAAGAGACTGTAGCTTCCTACGTGGGTCCTCTCTGCCATGGTCTCTATCTCTTGGATCACACGCTCTGGGGGAAGCCAGCTGTCTTACCGGGAGTTGCCCTATGGAGAGGCTCTCATGGCAACTGAGTGAGGCCTTGGGTCAATAGCTGACAAGAACTGAAGCCTTCAGTCCAACAGCCCAGGAGGAACTGAGAGGTCTGCTAATAAAACACATGCGTGAGCCTGTGATCCTTCAGCCTCAGTCCAGCCTTGAGATGATGCAATCCCAGCTGACAACTTGACCATGACTTCACAAGAGACCATGAACCAGAACCACCCAGCTCATCAGCTCCCAGATGCCTGACCTTGAGAAACTAAGATAATAAATCTCTGTTGTTTATGCTGCTGAGTTTTGGGGTAATATATTACCCAGCAAGAGACAAATACTATACCACCTATGACAAGCCTTGTAGCCCTCCTCCCCTAAAAACTGAGACTGAATCCAATCTATCAATCCAACTACCAATTTACAGGACATAGAGGAAAAAGAGCTACATGTTCCATGACAACAGGGGGATACAATCAGAAATGGAAACACTAAGGACTTTAAATAGCCTGTTCTCATTAACAAATAAATTACAAGGAAAAAAAGACAGGGAACCAATCAGTAGATATAAAAGAGACTTAAGAGACTATCCTAATTCAAACAAATTATAAAAATAAAATTTGAAACTACCAGGGATTTGTGAACAGTGACTACACATTTAATGATATTATGGAATTATTTCTCATTTCTAGTATGATAGTAGTACTATGGTTATGTTTTTCAAAAGATCCTTATCTTTTAGAGATGCACACTGAAATATTTTCAATTGAAATTATATCTAGGATTTGCTTCAAAATAATCTAAGGTGAGAGTGGGGAGAATGGGGCGATGGGGGAAGGGGTTGATGAATTTTGATCATGAGTTGCTAACTGTTGAAGGTGGATGACAGGTAACAGGATTCATTTACTTTTACTATTCTCTCTCCTTTTGTATATGTTTGAAATTTTCCTCTAAAAAATTAAAAAGCCAAGTGTCTTTTCTTTTATCTAAATTAAGGAGGGAGAAAAGAAAATTTCAAGGCAAATTCTATTATGATCTTTTTAAATGGCTGGAATTAAAATCAATTTTAATAATTGATTTTATTAATGCCCAGCAAATATAATTGAACACTGACCTGAGGAGGTTCAAAATTTGGTCTCCACCAGTTACCAATGCAGTCATCAATGACCCAGTCTTGCAGGACTCCATCTTGACGACCCAGTATCTATCAAAAAGAAATGACAGCCAGTAAACAACTAAATATATATACTCACGAACACCCTTCTTCAGTGAAGACAGTATTTTTGGCAGCACTCCTAAAAGAGACATGGCTAACATACCTTCCATATGGATTTCCTTTCTGTAATTTCTTGTTTTTATCTGTGCCACTCTGCCCAAGATATACACTATTAGTTCAAAATTAGGAGTCTGCAATCAACATAATGGTAGAGGACCAACAAATCTGTTGTTAGGCCCTGGCTATACATGGAAAACCAAAGGTGATCAATTACTGACATCAGCCAATGGCATACAATAGTTTTTCTAAAATCAACGGTAGCTTCTGTAAATCACCCAACTAGCCGAGTTATAGAAATGTATGCAAAATTCACAATTTTCCTTTTTATGAATCTATATAGCACAACATTATACACGTTATTTTTAATCAAAGCTATACTCTATACATTTTAATTGGTTAAAAATGGTTCTACAAGGTTCATAATGAGAAAGAGCAGTTCCCTGTCCTACTCTACCCATTCCCACTAGCTATAACTTACAAAAAATAAAAATTTGCCTTCATTTTTTAAAGCATTCTTCTTGTTTTAAAATAAACTGTTTATTTTAGTTTTAGATTTACAGAAAGGTTGCAAAGATGGTACAGAGACTTCCCATATATCCCACATCCAATTTCCCATTATTAACATCTTACATCAATACAGCGCATCTGTCACAACTAGGGAACCAATACTGATGCTTTATTATTAACTCAAGTCCATACTTTATTCAGATATCCTTAGTCGTTTTTTCTTGTGAGGAAGATTAGCCCTGAGCTAACATCTGTTACCAACCCTCCTCTTTTTACTAAGGAAGACTGGCCCTGGGCTAACATCCGTGCCCATCTTCCTCTACTTTATATGTGGGACGCCTGGCATAGCATGGCTTGATAAGCGGTGCATAGGTCTGCGCCTGGGATCCGAACCTGCGAACCCCGGGCCACTGAAGCGGAGCATGAGAACTTAACCACTACATCACTGAGCCAGCTCCCAGATACCCTTAGTTTTTACCTAATGTCCTTTTCAGTTCCAGGATCCCATCTAGGATATCACGGTATATTTACTTGTCATTTCTCCTTAGGCTTTTCTAAACTGTGATAGTTTCTTCAGATTTTCCTTGTTCTTGTTGACCTTGACAGTTTTGAGGAGTACTGGGTAGGTATTTTGTAGAATGTCCCTCAGTTAGACTGGGGTTATGTATTTGGGGGACTTTAGGAAGGAAGATCACAGAGGTAAAGTGCCAATCTCATCAGATCATTTCAAGGATACATTCTATCAACGTGACTTATTACTGATGTCAACCTTATCACCTGGCTGAAGTAGTGTTTGTCAGGTTTCTGTAAAGTTACATTTTTAACATCTTTTATGACCATTGCTTGATTACTTTTCATTTTTAAAAGCCTAAAAAAAAACAAAAAAACCAATTAACACCCTCTACTGTGGATGAGAATTTAGATCTCAAAACCACATCCTCCACTCATATTTTCTCTTCCACCATCCTCCCATTGTCAATATTTAAGTCATTTTTCAGTATTTAAATTAATATGACTAGAGGGCTGGCCCAGTGGCGTAGCGGTTAAGTTCACACAGTCCATTTCAGCAGCCTGGGGTTCACGGGTTCAGATCCTGGGCATGGACCTACACAACATTCATCAAGCCATGCTGAGGTGGCGTCCCACATAGAAGAGCTATAACTCTACAACTACGATATACAACTATGTACTGGGGCTTTGGGGAGAAAAAACGAAAAAGAGGAAGATTGGCAACGGATGTTAGCACAGGGCCAGTCTTCCTCAAACAAAAGAGAGGAAAAATAAAAATAAATTAATATGACTAGGTGAATCAGACACAACAGAGTGTATAGTAAATATAATTTCCTTACTTGTACAGCTATCCTCTTCTTTGGAGTTAACTGTTTCATTTCATTCACTATCACTAATTCGTCCCTACAAGAGCTTAAATTTCTTCTCAATTCAAATATCTATTAGTCTATCAATCTCATTTTTTCTAAGAGACACTCTTCTATCATCCTGCTCCAGTCTGTAGATGCTCTCAGGCCTACTTCACAGCTAGAGTCCTAGGGCCTCCCTCTGCCTCTCTCTTGTGTTGTTAGATCCTCTCTATATTCTGAACCCTGTATCTTTTTTCTTAGTTTATTCTTTCATTTTGGTGGTGAGTACTCTCCAGTAGCTTTCTGAGAAAAGGTACAAGAGATATCACTTTTTTGGAAACTCTGTATGTCTGGAAATAACTACCTGCACACTTGATTTATAGTTTGATTAGGCTGAAAATTCTAGGATAGAAATCATCTTCTCTCAGAATTATGAAGGCATGTTCCATGATCTTTTAGCTTCCACTATTGTTTCTGGGAAGTCAATACCACTTCTGATTTTGATGCTTTGTATTTAACCCATGTGTACCCTCCCCCCTCTCCACCTTTGGAAGCTTTTAGGATATTCTCTTTATCCTTATTGATTTAAAACTTCATAATGATATGCCTTTATGTGGATCTTTTAACATTCATTATAGAGGGCAGGCCAGTAGGTCTTTTCAGTCTAAAAACTTATGCTCTTTGAGTTTGGGAAACTTCTTGAATTATTGCTTTGCTAATTCTTCCTTTTCTTCTGTTCTATTTATTTCTAGTTTATATTGGTCCTTCTAGAATGATCCACTAATTTTATCTTTTCTTACCTATGTTCCACCTTTTTATTTTACTTTCTGGTACATTTCCTCAACTCAATTTTTTAACTCGCTACTGAATTTTTCATTCTGCTAACATTTTTTTAATACTCATGAGTGCTTTTTTTTTTTTGCAGTATCTCCTTTTATCACACTAAGAATATTAATCATAATTTTGTTAATCACTGAATTTTCTGTTTCTGTTGAGTTTCTTTTGCTTCTTTTGATCTCTTTCTTGTTAAGAAGCCTTCTCCAAAAGCCTGGTGATCCTTGGTTATCTGCTCACGATTAAGGGTAAAGCAATAAGATGCTTAATTGTCACGTCTGTGTCATGAGTGACAGGATTACACTTTTTCTTTGGGAAGATTCCCAAATATCATCATCTGGAGTTTTTTTCAGACTAGTCGCTTTCTCCAGAAACAAAACATTCAACCTCAGCCTGGGGTATGCAAAACTGGTTGTCAACACTCTATCAGCCTAGGAAGGTAAGTCTAGAAGTCTCACTATCCAGGATGTCAACCTTTACTTACTCTCCCCATCTCAACTTTTTCAGTGCTTAGCATTTCCTGTCAGTCTCTTCAGAGAATCAATCAGCGGCCAGCCTTTGCCTAACTGTAGAGTGGGGAAAATGATCTAGGAATATATTCTATATGGACTGTCAGTCAATCTAGTTTTCAGTCCACACACGCCCCCACTTTCACAGGCACAGTCACCTCCAACTCCTCAGCCTTTCTGGTGTTCTGCAGTGCTGCGTCCTGGACTGCCCTCCTGCTGGGTGGAGGTTTCTGCTAAGTCAGTTATAATTTGCCCATCTGCCTTCCAGCTTCTAAAATTTTTTTTTTGCTATTGTCTCATTTTGCACTCCCTCAATCCTACTGGATTTATATCTTTTTAAAACCCCTTGACTGCCTTATTGCTGGAATTTTAAGAAGGCGCTGAGGTAAGCAGGTAGGTTCAATCTACCATATGTAAATGGAGTCTAAGCACAGCACAATATTTAAGAGTTATAACGCCTTTTAAAAAATACTAGAAAGACAAACCAATAGGTCCAAGTGGTAGGATTACAGGTGATTTTAGTTTTGTTTCTCCTACTTTTCTGTATTTGCCAAGGTTTTTGCACAGAATATGTATTAGTTTTGTAATTAAAGGGGGGAGGGAAAATTGCATGCTAAAAAAGAAAAATATTTAATAATGAAAACAACTATAATCTCAAAAACTTGCAGCATCTATGCATTCAGCCTCAAATCTTCAGAGGCACACAGAATAACTTTTAAAAAGTAGTACAATTTGGGCAAAGCCTAAAAGATACATGCAAAATGACAATAGGTGTATAACAGGAATAATTCTCTTGTGAAAATTCTATAGAGGCCTACTGTGGAGCAAAACTACATGCATTCCAACCTCCAGCTCCAAGACATACTAGCTGTATTAATATCACGCAAGTTATGTGAACTCGGTGCCCAATTTCCTTATCAGTAAAATGGGTTTAATAATAGTACCTACACGTCCTAGGGCTGTTGTGATGACTAAAAGAGTTATTGCATGTAAAGCACTTAGAACAGTGCCTAGCACAGTAAGTACTCAATAAATGTTGGCCTTTATTAGCCATTATTGTTATATGAATATTTCAGGGAAAAAAATGTTAAGATAAAGTATTTTTAAGTTCAACTTGCAGAAAATAAACACTGTATGAACACTCTGGGGTTTAAATTTTATTTACTGAAAACTAAATATTTAAAATAAACATCCTTTTCACAAGACATAAAAATCCTAATTATCCATTAAGTTGATGGTATTCAGATGGGCAATACTGAAACTGTCAAAGGGGTTAAATAGAAAAATACCTCTGTCATTAAGCGTTTTAGTCCTTCAACTTCATCTTCTCCTGGGTTAAGTTCACCACCAGGTCTGTATAAAGGTTAAGAATTTCAGCTTTCAACTTAATACAATTTTGAGATAACACGAAGAACACAATTATACTTATTTTTATCAAGTAACTGAATAACACATACATCAGGGTCACATGATAAGGCAATCAAAGCAAACAAATACCAAAGGAAGGGGGAAGATTATGCTAGAAAGTTGAATTCATAATGGTATTTCACCACACTAACACAAACCTTAGTTTTAAACAAACAAAATATGTACCATAACATACACGTCACATAATTGCGGGACACCAGTCCATCCCCATCTCTTCTGTCTGAAAGCTATCTGGCGATAATGGAGTCTAGAAATGCCCAGAGAGCAATGGACCACATTTTTTAGGTCTGAGGAATGGGGCATTTTTCAAGAACTCCAATCTAAATATTCAAGACTTTTCTTTTGGTACACTCTAGTCAAATGGTTGTGAACTAAATGTACATTGAGAGACTCATGAACTTAAATGATAAAACTAAACAATTATCTATAAAAACATAAGCCATTTGAAGAATAGGAAGCATTATCCCTCCTAAGAAAGAAATATCATCAATTGTTCTTAGTAATGCTACAATGACATAGAAATTGAACTTGGACTAATTTGTTTCACAGAGCTTCTATCAAGCTCAGTCATTAACATGAACAAAATACAGAAACATGCAGATTTCTAGTTAGGCAATAAATGAGCACGGCCCTGGAGAAAATTACTTGTGATTTTATCTTTCTAAAGACTTTATTAACAGCAGTGTTTGTTGAGATAAATGACTAAGGGCTAAAACTGTATTCCAAAGCAGCATAAAACAGCAATCCTATTAAAAATTGTCTCGCTGTTAATTTCCAATGATACTTACAATTTGAAGAAAGTTGTTCCAAGCTGTAGCAGTAACACATGGGGTAGCCGGTGCTCATGTACAATCAGAACCCCTTCTACAGTCCTCCTCATTCCAATTTTATCAAATTCCTCCCTCATGCGCTGAAATCTGGCTGCGACAGAGCTGTCCTTCTCATAGAGGGGCTCTTTTGTACCAAACGTATAATTGGTAAGAGGGTACCTGTGATCCAAAGACAAACATCTAACATGAGAACTGAAAACCATAATTTACCACAACAGATAGCAACCGTACATAAAGAAACCATGGTAAAAAGTATATATACTGTACTCAAGAGTCATAGGATTTGTCCAAAGTTACACAGTTAGTTAATGAGACAGCAGAGATTAGAATCCCGCTCTTCGGACTCTAAGGCCAGAGCTTCCATTAGATCAAGCTGCTAATCCATACCTGAATTTCAAGTGTCAATAACACTATCCTTAAGGCCCTTAAATGCTTCAAGAAGTGGCTGTCTGGATATCTGGTAATTCCCTGGTTTTAGATCATGGCCGCCATACTAACACTGCCAACTTACCTAACGTCCCCTTGGGTTCCTCTGACTACTAATCTAACCAGAAATTCTATTAGTAAAATTCTCTTCTCTTAATTCTATTAATTAAGAGATTAGCTAATGGCTAATCTCTTTTTTTCTACAAGCTGAGCCACCACTTTCCATCATCTCTCCAGTTATTTTCTATTTCTCCCAGTCAACTATCCTCAGACTTTTCAGGTACTACAACCCTTTCCTTTTCAGATTAACTTTTCTTTCCCCTCTAAATCTTTTTTAGCCTTCTGCATTTATTTTATTCAGTATCGTTATTCTTCCTTTCTCTTCATTCAAATCTTCTGCCCACCATATCTAATCTGAATATTCTCTCCTCCTTTATCAAGAATTCAAAACGTGGCTCGTATTGTTGAAGGTAGTTTTTGTCTTAACTGGTAAAGATCAAATTTTTCCTTGAAGATAGTTAAAAATACCATAGTTCTATTTTACCACATGTACCACATTGTAACCCCTCGGTCTTAAGCCTTACCATAAAAAGCCTTTGATTATAAGCTTCTGAGTAAGAGAATGCTTTGACCACACTTGCCTATCCCCAAAGTATCTACTCTATCAAAATGCCTTGACATTAAAAGTCAACAACTACATAACTAATCCACTCAGCTATGCTTGAAAGGGGAACAAATCAAGGTTGCCAAAACCTAAAATATTACTTTAATTCCAGAAGTCAAATTCTAGGCATAAATGAAGCAGCTCTAAAATATACCATTTCCAGGGGGCCTGCCCCATAGCTTAGTGGTTAAGTGTGCGCGCTCCACTACTGGCAGCCCAGATTCGGATCCCGGGTGCGCACAGACGCACCGCTTGTCCGGCCATGCTGAGGCTGCATCCCACATACAGCAACTAGAAGGATGTGCAACTATGACACACAACTATCTACTGGGGCTTTGGGGAAAAGAGGAGGATTCCTCAGCAAAAAGAGGAGGATTCGCATGGATGTTAGCCCAGGGCTGATCTTCCTCACAAAAAATAAATAAATAAATAAAATAAAATACACCATTTTCAGGGTGCTTTAAAGATTTGTAGAAAGGTCTTCCCCAGAAGACCCAATGCTGAATCTAACATAGTCTTTAGCAGCAACAATCTCACACAGGACTATCCGCCCGGCAATTTTAAAAAACGCTTTATATATATTAACACCGAATTCTTATAACCTGAGTTAGAAGGAATTAAGGATAGCTATAACACATCTCTGCTGCAAGAGCCAGCTCTCACATCAATAGGAGATGCCATCAAGATGAAATGTAAGAATCTGCAGCTGTGAAAACAGAGTGCCAGCCCAGATACATGCATACTATTTCCATCATACTGTGAGCTTTGTCAAGCGGGGACTACAGCTTATTTCCTCACCACTGTATACCCAGCATTATGCCCAGTGCCTGGTACAAAGTAGGCATTGATGCAGTATTTCCTAAAAGAAAATATACTGGGGAGAGAGGACTTGTTTTCAATTTAGATCATTACTCACCCAGGTGAACTGAGTTCACAACACAATGATTATTTCTGAATACTATATTTATATAGAAGAGGAAAACTATTGTAAATCCATCAACTCATAACTTTAATGGAGCAAAAACGAAAACATTTTCACCAACTTAATTCTACATGCTGGCTTAATGCAAACTGATCCAGTAATGAAGGGCAAACTGAGGGAAAACCATAAGTCCTAGTTCTAATTACCACTGAAAGTAATCCAGAAGCCGTGCTTTCACATTTTAAAAGAACATTTGCCTCTTCCACTTCATGTAAATCTATAAAGGATTTTTACAAGAAGTGATATGAAATTATAATGCAATTACATTAGCAGCTACAGAGATATTAACTTGTATCTACACAACTACCTACTAATCCCAGATTTCATAAACCCAACATTCTTATTATCCAATCTTTCAAGCCAGCACCTGTTTTGCCAAATAAAACAATAACAACCATCTTTTCCATTTCAAATCGCTTTTGGGGGGGGAAAGTTCATTTACTTGAATATAAAACAGACAAACACCTAAAGTGTCCTACTGAAACACCAGTATCAGTAAATCCTTGCGCATTTTAAACGCTGACCAGCATTAACTGACCACTTTCCTCCCTTTGGATCAGCACCACGGTGCCTCACGACCTCTCAAAAAGGATAAAAAAGCACACTGACAATTTCTTGAGCATGACGGAGCCCAAATGCCAATTACCTGCCACAGCGAGGCTACTTTTGAGTGACCTCGAAATGCAACGGCTTAAAGGGCTTACACAGAAAGGTGCTGACAATAAAACGCAGCCCTCAATGGGTTCCCTGGGGCGACGTTCCGGACCCCTCCACGGTCTGAAAGCCCAACGATAACAGCATCCACCCTCCCATGCGGGGGTCTACTGGGTGCCTGGAAGCTGCTGCTGCGGCAGAGAAGACAGGGCAGGCCAGACAGCACTAAGCAGACGAATAAAATATGGTGCATTCACGAGCTGAAATGCAATATAGCAATAACGGGAAAAAACTAAACCTACGCGTTATAACTAGATCTCGCAAGCTCACTGGCAGAAAAAGAGCGAAAACTGCAAAAACGATACTACATTATACCACTCCCATCAAATAAAAACACACAAAACGATGCCATACACGGGATGCGAAAGCGTCAACAATGCACGGGAAGGATAAGCACCACGTTTTCAGGTTGGTTATCTCTGCAGAGGTGGAGAAAGGATGAGTGCAAAGCAAACCTGGGTTCCTACAATGACTGAACACAGGGACATGAGAACAAATCTCTCTGGAAAAAGAAAACCTTCTTAAGTACGACTCGAACCCCTTGGCGCTGGAGGACAAGGAAACAGCCTGCGGGAGCTAGAAAGTCGCGGGAGTGGGGGTGCGGGGAAGCGTGGAGCCCGCCGAGGGCTGGTGGCGCGCCGGAAGGAGAAGACTGGAGTCTTGAGGCGCGCTCACGAGGAAGGGGACGCCCGGCGAAGGCAGCGCGCGAGACCAGGCCGCACTTACAGGTTGATGGTGCGCTCCAGGGTGAGGGGCTTGGTCTGCTGGATGTACTTATTGCCGAACTGGTTGACCCCCCGGGGCCAGCCGGTCTGCGAGCGATTGGGCGGCACCACGGACATGTTGGCGAGCTCGAGCACTGGCAGCGAGCGGAAAGGGGGAGGCAGGGAGACCTTCCCTGTGGCAGCAGCGGTTAATCTGCGTCCCACTCAGCAGCCGCCACCCGCCATTAACAGGAGAGCGCAAGAGAAGGCGTACGCACGCCGGAAGTGCATCCGGAGCCTCTGGCGGCAGGAAGTAGAGAGGCAACGGCCGGCCATGCCATTGGGCCAATCGCTGGTGGGACGGCCGCAATATCTGGAGCTCTCATTGGTAAATCCGGTATGGATTCCGCCTCCTCTTACTTTGGTCCTTCCTATTGGGTGGCGTCGGGGACCCTTGAAAGGCGGCATTCTGGGAATTGTAGTCTCCCTAGGAAAAGAGTTGCTTGATCAGCGTGGCGGAGGTCTGTAGCCTAGGAGGAGATGAATGGGAAACGGCCGGCTGAGCCCGGCCCGGGCAGGGCGGGGAAAAAGGGAAAGAAGGAGGTGATGGCGGAGTTTTCGGACGCTGTCACGGAGGAAGCCTTGAAAAAGCAGGTGGCTGAGGCCTGGAGCCGCAGGACGCCGTTCCGTCACGGTAACCGAGGGCTGTGAAGGGGCAGCCTCTGCGCGGGGTTGGGGGCCTCTGAATAAGTCCTGGCGCTCGAGCCGATTCCTGAGCAGCGGGGCCGCCAGGGAAGAGGCTCTTGGAGAGAGCGTGACTTTGGCCACCTGCCACCCTCTTGCCTGGCCTGCTGCCCCCTTTCATTCCAGGTTCAGTTTGGGTTTAGAAACCTGAGAAGGGAAGACATGTAGGCCAGGGAGTTTCAGGAAGTAGAGGGCATGGAAGTTCATAGTGGAATTCTGGAATTAGAGATTACTGAGTTAGAATCCTCTCCACTGATGGTGCGTCGTTGGGCAATGGGTTTAACTTTTTTAAACTTCAGTTCTTTCCTGTGTAAATGGGATAACTGATAGTGTTTACCTCGGAAAGATGCTGAATGAGATTAATAAGGTAATGCATGTATGCATCAATAAATGTTTCCCTGAGTAAAAAGACCAGTAAACCTTTGGACGTGTATTTGAGTGGCTTATGCGATTTTTCCTCCGAGGGTGAAGCTCGGTTGTCCTCTGATAGGGTAGCCAGAGCACGTTGTGAGCTGCCAGATAGCAGGCACCTGAACGTACTCGTTTTTACATGCCTGTAGTTCGACTACATGACCCATGCAAGCAAACGTGTGTGGGAGGAGCCTGCACTGTAGGATTCCAGCCTCGGCTTCAAATATCACCTTATACATAAGAACTCTGCTTAATATATCACGCTTCCTCTTCTCAAGTTTGCTGTGATTTTTGTTTCAGCGGTTAAGTGCTTTGAAGAGTCATGGGCGCTCTGGATGCACATAGAAACTGATAGCTTAGTGTTGAAAGTGCAAGCTCTGTCCACTCGGACTTCTCAATTTCCTCATTTGTAGGATGAAGATAGTGATAATGTCTACCTTCGCGTTGTTGGGAGGATTAAATGAGATAATGCATGTAAAGCCCCACTGTGCCTGGCACCTGGCAGGTGGTGGTGGTGGTGATTATTATTGCAAAGGTGCATAATCTTCCCGCCAGAGGCAGTGGGTAAAATGTTGAGGTAAAAATCAACAAATTAAAGGAGGTTATGCCTGAACTGATTAAAAGAAAAAAAAAAAGTATGTATGTTGGTAACTTCCTCTGATAGTAACTTGGGGAAAGAAAAAGGGTTGGGGAAAAATTGCCAGGCAGTATGGCTATTCTCATTTTTAATTTGCTGCTCTTATTTTAAATTTGGGGGAAATGAATTAATCTAAAATACATTCAGTTCAATAAGTAATCATTGAATTAAAAAACACCCAAAAGAGCAGGAAACTTAATTTAGTGGCATCACCTATACTCATCTTATGGACTAATATTCTAAGCACAGTATCTTTAAAAAGTAGTATCGAGTCAGGGGCCACCCCATGGCTGAGCGGTTAAGTGTGCGCACTCCGCTACTGGCGGCCCGGGTTGGGATCCAGGGCGTGCACCGATGCACTGCTTGTCCAGCCACGCTGAGGCCGCGTCCCACATGCAGCAACTAGAAGGATGTGCAACTATGACATACGACTATCTACTGGGGCTTTGGGGAGAAAAAGGGAAAAAAAGGCGGAGGATTGGCAATAGATGTTACCTTAGGGCAGTCTTCCTCAGCAAAAAGAGGAGGATTGGCATGGATGTTAGCTCAGGGCTGATCTTCCTCACACACACACACACACACACACACACACACACACACACACAAAGTAGTATTGAGTCAGTAAAGAAAAAAGAGAAGAGCATATAATTCTTCCCCCAAGAAAATTCATGACCATCCCCTTTGGTATTCTCTCTACTGTGCTACTTAGGGGTCAAAAATACAAAAGGAAAAAAGCCATAGATCATGTTTTCCTTCCCACAGAAGCCATTGTCATGGACATGGACCCCTTTCTTCACTGCGTGATCCCAAACTTCATCCAAAGCCAAAACTTCTTGGAAGGGCTGCAGAAGGAACTTTTGAACTTGGACTTCCATGAAAAGTATAACGATTTATATAAGTTCCAGCAGGTATTTATGCCCCTTTCACATCAGCTCTTCCAGTTCAGAAATTCAGCATCTATAAAATCACTCAATACCTTTAGACTTGGGGTGTGTTAGGTTGGGTTTGCCTTGGTGGGTCCTTGCCTTGACATTGTTAAAAACATTCATTCATTTAACATAAACTTACTGAGTGTTAACTCTGTGTTAGGTGCTATAATTATCATATGGGAGTCTTTGCCAGTTCCCGCCCTGTAAGACTTTATAGAGGTAATAGTAATGATGAGATAGTCAGGAAATACAGCAAGCCAGTAATTAAGTACATTAGAAATAAAGGGGTTAAGTACATTTTTGGGAGTGGTATAATGAAGAGAGTTGTACATTAGAAGATAATAACCATTTAGATTTTTGAGTTCATGTCTTTGTTTTAGGTAGCTTGGTGTATTGCAGTATGCTCTGCATTGCAATATGTCTTGTAGAGAGTTAGATCCATTCTTTTTTTGATGGCCAATTTAATTTGGCAGAAAAGACTATCTCAAAATCAAGGCTAGTTTTTCTACTCTTAGAAGACAGGCCCAGTCTAGGTATAGAAATACAGGTCATTGGTTTCCTCGGTTTGGGGGAATATCTTTCAGTACATGGCGTATATCACTCTTGGAAATCCTTTATAAAACCTCAAGGACAGCAGCCCTTAAAATCACGAAAAATAAAAATGAAACAGGTGAAGAATTATTTTGTTTTCTTTGATTTCTCTTTATCTAGAGTAAGAGAGTAAATGATGGATTTCTCCGTTATCTCCAGAGCTGACTGTTTGGTCAGCTGGTTGTGTCCCCCAATCTGTCTATCTTTGGGCCTTGTACATATGATTGAATTAGTCCAGGTTAAATACACAAATGATGTGATTCTTAATAATTCAGAAAATCTAATGAAAATTAACTTGTATCCATAGTAAAGTTGCATAGGTTAATTAAAAACCATAGTTGTCTGCCTTTGTAATTGTATCAACTTTGGTAACACTAGGCCTCTTGTTGATTTAGGGCTATATGCATCTCTGATTACTAAAATTGAGAAATCAAAGTGGTTTTTACTTAATACAATTTGGTAGATGAAAATACTTCTAGCTATGAAGTCAGTGCGAGGCAAAATAATAAAAAGGGCCCTGGGTGGTGAGGAAGAAAACAAGGGAGCCATTACTTTAGATCCCCATGGGTGCTTGGTGAAACTCTGCACTGCTGTGAATAATTTTCACTCTGCTCACTTTGGGACTGAACTTCATCCTGAGACAGTAAATATAGAACCTGTTTTTAGTCTCCTGTCCCTTCAGACTTCACCTATATCTCTTTTTCTTTGTTTGTACTGAGTTGACTTGATAGTTGGGCCTATAACATCTTCCAATTCCCCTAACCAAGTTTGTCGTTAGGAGTAGCCCGATATTCTGTATGTATTTTAAAGCAAGCATTATTGAGTGCATGCTTTATGCCATGCTAAGTGCTTTATATTTATTAATTCATTAAATCCTCAACAATCCTATGAAGGACATACATTACTATTCCTGTTTTACAGATGAAGAAATTGCATCAATTTTTCCTTCTCTTCTGGATCATTCCCTTCAACATACAAAAAAAAAAAGCTGGTACGGTTAGTTCTTCTCATCTTAAGAAGAAAAAAATGCTGTTGGTCTAACTTTCCCCTTCAACTACCACCCATTCCTCTGCTCCCCTTGACAGGAGCATTCCTTATGAGTTGTCTGTACTGTCTCAAATTCCTCTTCTCCCATTCTCTATTAGGGCCCCTGTAATTCAGCTTTCACCTATTACACTCCACTGAAACTACTTGTCAGGGTAACTCACAACTTCCACATTAGTAAATCCAGTCATCAATTTCAGGTCGGGTTTTACTTGACGTCCCAGCACCGTTTGACCTACTATGTTACTCCTCCTTCCTGGGGACATTTTTTTCACTTTACTTTCAGGGTACCATGCTCTCTTGGTTTTCCTTCTACCTCACTGGTGAGTCCTTCCTAGTCTCCTTTGGTAGGTCTTCCTTTTGTACCTGACTTCTTGATGATAGTTTGTTTAGCCCTTGGACCACTTCCAGGCAGATTTCCAGGGAGTCTCGTGGCTTTGCCTCTACTCTTGGATATCTATAAAGTGTCTCACGCTTATGTCCAAAACTAAACTCCTGCTCTTTCCCCTAAATCTGCTCCACCTGCAATTTTCCCCGTCTCAGTTAATGGCAACTCGATCTTTTCAGTGGCTCAGGCCAGAAACCCGAGGTTGTCCTTGATTCCTCTCATGCCTCATATCCAGTCCATTGGGAAATTCCACTTGCTCTACCGTCAAAATATATTTAGAAAAACCCACTTCTTTCCACTTCCACTGCCAACAGCCAACACCTGGTTCAAGCCATCTTTGTCTCTTACCAGGATTATTCTTTTAGTGTATTAACCAGTCTCCCTGCTTGTGCCCTTGCCCACCTGCACAATCACAGCCATTGTGTTTTTTTGAAATGTAAATGGACCAAAGAGAATTGAAAACATGTGTTCACATAAAAGGTTGTATGCAAATGTTCATAGCAGCATTATTTATAATAGCCAAAAAGTAGAAACAACCCAAATGTCCATCAA